TGTGTGTGTGTCTGTGTGTGTGTCTGTGTGTGTGTGTGTGTTTGCATGTACATGAGTGTATGTGTGTGCCTGCAGGTATCCATGGGTGTTGGACCCCTCCTGGAGCTGAAGTTGTAACTACCAGTGGTTGTGTGCTGCCACATGGGTCCTGGGAACTGAACTCACTCTCTGCAACAGCAGCAAGTATTCCTAACTTATGAGCCATCTCTCCAGCCCCTAATGTTGACCGTTATAAAAATAAATTAACTTTTTGGTTTGTTTGTTTAGTTAGTTGGTTGAGACTCTCATTTTGTAGTCCAGACTGGCCTTAAACTCACAAGCCTCCTGGCTCAATGTCCTAACTCTGGGGATTACAGGTGTGCACCACCATGCCCAGCTCAGGAAAACTTCTCCATCTGCAGAGCTACAGGCTTCACGAGGATTGTTTGCTTTCTTTTCCCATCCCCCCACTTGTGTCCTTTGTCTAGGTCAGGAGACCAAGCCAAGATCCTTGCGTTTAGTTTCAACCTCTTTAGATTCTCCAGTAGTTGTTGTTCCTCAGCCATTTGTGAGCCTGACTCCTTCGACAACCCTCAGCAGTGATTTTGATTTTAGATGGTCTCATAATTTGGCCCTGATTCAACAGAAGCTTTTCGGGAAAGATACCAGAAAGGTGACAGCGTGCTTTCTGTGTGTGTCATATCCAGGGCATGTGACGTCACAGTGACTCATGGCTGGTGATGTGGACCATTGTCCTCTGGCTGCCAGGATGTCTACCAATACTCTCTACTATTTTTCTAGGATTATTCCAAGGACTGCAAGATAGAGACACTCAGATATACTATACCACATACAACTGACCCAGGGATACATGGCTCAGTGAAAGCACTTACTTAAAGCAACTAACTGGGGCTCATTCCCTGGTCCTTTTTGTTTGTTCTTAAATTTTTTTATTGCATTTATTTACTGGTGTGTGTGTACCCAAGCACACAAGCCAGGACACACATATGGGAGTCTGTTATCCTTTCCACTGTGTGGGCTCCAACAATTAGACTCAGGTCTTTTTCTTTTTTTTTTTTTTTTTTCCAAGACAGAGTTTCTCTGTGTAACAGCTCTAGCTGTCCTGGAACTCATTCTGTAGACCAGGCTGGCATTGAACTCACAGAGATCCACCTGCCTCTGACTCCCAAGTGCTGGCATTAATGGCGAGTGTCACCACCACCCAGCAAGACATGAGTCCTGTGACCTCAGTTTCTTCCAAACACAGAAAAAAAGAAAAAGAAAAGAAAAGATTCATGTTGTGTTTTCTCACCAGCACAACTCCATTGGTGGACTGTGTTCTGACAGGCCTTGAGCTCACAGAGATCTGCCTGCTTCTGCTTCCCAAGTGCTGGGACTAAAGGCGTGTGCCACTATGCCTGGACATTAGATTACAAATGGAGTACCAATTTTCGACTGAGGGCTGTTTTTATAAGGCAAAATTGTAGGGCTGGAAGCCCGAAGATTTCAAAACTTCCGTGGTTACACAGGACAGGACAATGGTATGTGCTTCAGGCAAGGTGCAATTAAGCAGGATGCTGCAGAGGAAATGAGTTTGTTAATTATCTCCTGGGCTGGGGACTTCTACAATTGATAACTATCTGATCCTCTTTGGACCAGAGGAATGTCGACACTGCTCAAGAGTGTGATATCTGGTCCTGTGGACCTTTGTTTAACCTTGTCTGCTGGGCTGCCTTTTGGGAACTCAGAATTTTCTATTTGGGCTTTGGAGTCCAGGTTTTAGACTTTTATTAATTTTCCCCTTTCAAAAACAAGACTCCACATTCAATCATTAGACATACATATAATAATTCGATATATATGTGTTTATATACATAATCAATATTATCTATACACGCACACAACAGTTCCAGGGCATGATCACATCACCTACACATACACTCCAAAGGCCTCTCAGCCCTCAGTGTAGGCAGTTTGAAGAGTAAACCCAGACTCCCTGTTGGGGAGGGAGAGAGGGGTGCCAGGAATGCATGTCCTTTTCTCACAGTAGCCCTTGTTGTACTTATATGGCTATTTTACATAGATGAATTCAAATCTCAAAGATTCAGATTAAAGGGGGCTAAAAGTGCTTGCAACCATGCATAATGACCCAAGTTTCATCCCCAGTATCCACTTGATGGAAGGACCATTTCCCCTAAATTGTCCTCTGGCCTCCACGCGAATGTGCTCACTTAGACGCACACAAAATAAACAAACATAACTTGGAAGGAACCCTGTTAAAGCTGCTGGCGGCGCGGCCCACCTGAAGTTCCAGCTACTCGGGAGGTTGAACCCTCAGGACTTCTGGAGTCCGGGGTTTTGAGAATAGCCTGAGCACCATAGCAAGACCCTGACTCAAACAACTCAAAAGCAATTGTTTGGTAACATTAATACACCCTGGGGCTTGGGGCTGGTTGGGAGTGTGCTTGCTCAGCACGCAAGAAGCCCTGGGTTCCATCCCCACTCTGCACTGAACCGGACGTGGTGCTTCAGGTCCCTAACAGTATTTCGTCTGTAACAACTGACATTCCATCACACTTCGGGTGAGGAAACTGGACGGGACGGACTCGGCGCCGCCGCGGCAGGAACCCAAGGCCCCAGGCTCCCGCAGTTGGGTGAGGGGCAGGGATCAGTGCTCTCCCTCCTTCCTATTGGTGAGCGTCTCCTTGAGGGCGGGACCTATCGTCTCTGGCTTTTCCGATTTGCTGTCGCCTTCGGCCGGTAACCGGAAGCTCTGTGACAGAACATGAGGGCTGCCAGCGGTGGCACCTAGCCGGCTGTGTACCGCCGTCGGCCGCGTGAGTAGGTGGGTCGCGCGTGGGAGGGCGATGGGACAGTCTGGGGTTCAAGGGCGTCCACCTCCAGGCCTGGTAGAGCCGGAGAGGACAGCCTTCACCTCGGCCGCAGGGTGAGGGCCCCGTGACCTTTGGGGCTCGTGCTTGGGGACGGGCGAGGAAAGGCTGCTCGGCACCGTGTGCTTAAATGTCCGGTTTCGCGGGTGCTGGAGCAGCTCAGGGAGGCCACGCAGCCCTTGTGCGGTGAGGCAGGCTTTGGAGACCTGGGAGCGCGGCAGCCCACGCACACACGTACATACACGCCACCTCGCTGTAAGGATTCATCTGCTTATCCGTACTCAGATGGTCGGTGTTGGGCACTTACCATGTACTAGGGCACTGTCCCTGCTGGTGGAGGCATATAAATGAGAAAAACAGATTAAAAAATATATTATCTAAGAGAGGCAATTGCTGAGCAGATCGCAAACGGAGCAGATCATTTCGTGACTTCAAATAATGATTGTTGCAGTGTGTTCCATGAAACAAGAGTCTTTATGTATCCCAAGCTGGCCTCGAACTCTTTTTTTGTGGGGGGGGGGGGCGCGGGGTGGGGGCGGGTGTTAGAGACAGGGTTTCTCTGTGGCTTTGGAGGCTGTCCTGGAACTAGCTCTTGTAGACCAGGCTGTTTTCAAACTCACAGAGATCTATCTGCCTGCCTCTGCCTCCCGAGTGCTGGGATTAAAGGCGCGTTCCACCACCGCCTGGCTTGGCCTCGATCTTCCTGCTCCAGCCTTCTGAGTGCTGGATTACAGGCACGCACCAAGATGATAAGCAGTAGGCAGAGGGTAAAACAAGTTCAAAGCCTGTGAGACCAATAAACTTGTCTTGTTTCAGAAACAGTGTGGCTGGAGCTACAAGGATAGGGGCAGTTCAGCAGGTAGACTCCATATGAGGTCGATTTATTTATTTAATTAACTTATTTTTATTTCATGTACATTGGTTTGCCTGTATAAGGGTGTTGGATTCCTTGGAACTGGAGTTACAGACAGTTGTTAGCTGCCATGTGGGTGCTGGTCCTTTGGAAGAGCAGTCAGTGCTCTTAACCACTGAGCCATCTCTCCAGCCTCCCTACCCACCCTTTCTGATATTTACTTACTTTGAAGTTTTTTAGTTATTGGGGTGGGGTGGGACACACATGTGTGCCATGTTGCATGGTGGAGGTCAGAGGAGAGCCAGGGAGTTTTATCCATACACCTTATGCTGGTTCCTGGGATTGAACTCAGGTCATTAGGCTTGCATTGTTGCAGCAGCAAGTACCTTTCTCAGTTGAATCTTCTGTCCTGGCTCTTATTTATTTACAGTTTAGACGGGACTTTATGGTAACTCAACACTGTCATGAGCTCACTAATTACTACCAGCTGGTCTGATACTGGATGCAATTCCTCCTGCCTCAGACTCCACACTGCTGGCTTTACAGCCACAACACTTGTCTCAAGTCTTGTTTTTTTGTTTTTTTGTTTTTTTCCTTTTTGAGGTAGAGTCCTACTATGTACCCTGGTTGGTCTGGAACTTGCTGTGTCTATGTAGATCAGGCTCACCTCAAACTCAGACATCTGTCTGCCTGTGTCTCCTGAGTGCTGGGATTACAGGTATGTGCCATCACACCCAGCATTTTTATGTGTTCATGTGTGGGTATGTGGATGTATGTTAGTGCATGTACACATATGCACATGTGTATAGGAGGACAAATGTCAAACTTGGATGTTGTTCCTCAGGAGCAGTCCACTTTGTGCTTTGAGACAGGGTCTTTTCACTGGGACCTGTGGCTCACTGATTAGGCAGGCTGGCAGGCCATCGAGCTCAGGGACCTGCCCATTTCTGCTTCCCCAGTGCTGGGATTACAAGTGCATGTCACCTCACCTGGCTTTTTATGTGGGTGCTGGGGATCAAACCCAGGTCCTTGGACTTTCAGGGCAAGCATTTTACCAATAAAGGCATCTCTCCAGCCCCTTAGTTTGCATTGTTAGAGCTTTCTTTTCCAATGGAGGGAAGTAACTACTGGACAGGAGAGAGTGGACACCTATGCAGGAAAGCAAAGCCGGTCCTGGTGCTGTGACCTACAGCAAAGGGGACAGATTGGGAAGTAGTCTCCAGGACTGTTGGACAGACTGAATAAGGACATGGTGGACTCTAAATGACTCCTGCTTTATGGCTTGAATAGTGAGGAAGGGTGGTAACCCTGGCTAACCTCCAGATCAAAGGTATGTCTGTTGGTATCCCATGACTGGAGTTTGAGATGGCTGGTTTGTACCAAAATTATGTTTAGGTATGGGGTGAAAACATGAGGGAACCATGAGCACTCACTGAGAGTATTCACTGCTCTGATTAAACATGTAAGAGCCACCTATGGCTGTCACAGTGCATATTCCCACACAGGATATCTGAGTTAAGAGTCAACATTTTACAGGTCCTAGAACACAATCTGCAAAGCAAAGGTTTAGATTCTTCTTATCTAACTATATGCCAAGCAAGTATTCTACCATCAGCCCCTCACTGGGGCAGTCTAGGCAAGGGCTCTACCACTGAACCATGCCCCCAGCAGCTCACTGGGGTTCTCACTATGCAGCCCTAGCTCGCCTGGAACTTACTAAGATCTGCCTGCCTCTTCCTCCTGAATACTAGGAATAAAAGTACATTACCATGCCTGGCTCAACTAGACAAAGGTGTGTGTGTGTGTGTGTGTGTGTGTGTGTGTGTGTGTGTGTGTGTGTGTGTGTGTGTGCGCGCGCATGCGCGCGCACACAAGGATGGAGCGAGTGCCAGGACAGGCTCCAAAGCTACACAGAGAAACCCTGTTTCGAAAAACCAAAACCAAACAAACAAACAAACAAAAAACCCAACCCTTATTTGTACATCCCTGAGTATGTATATACAGATGTGCCATGACACCAGCACAGAGGACAACTTGTAGAATTCAGGTCTCTCCTTCCACCATGTGGGTCCTGGGGATCAAACTCAGGTCCTTAGACTTGGCAGCAAGCATTTTTTACCCAGTGAACCATCTCACCAGTCCCATCTCTTTTTTCACCCTGGGTATTTGAGATAGAACTCAGGCACTTACCAACTGAGCTGTCTCGATGGCGGCTCTATTTCTTTCTCTTGCCTGAGTGCTACTACTGGAAGTTCTGGTGCAACACTGAGAAGTGGCCAGACTGCACACCCTTGTCTGGATTCTGAACTGTGGCAAAAGAATCTCTCATTGGGCATGGTGGCACATGTCTTTAATCCCAGATCTCAGGAGGCAGATCTCTTGAGTTCAAGGCCAGCTGTGGAGGGCGCAGCTTACAGACAGCACTAGAGAATGAAGAAACTGACACCTGTTTTCCATCCATAAGGCCATGAGTGGATGTGACTGCTATTCTGTAAAGCCAGCCCTCATCGAATCCCCAAGAATCCTGAGCATTCTCTGTCAATAGAGCCCATCCTCATGAAAGAGGTCGAGTGTGCTTTACAAAAGAGCCTGCTATTATGCTTATTCCCCCTAGACTTCTAAGTACTATTTCTCAGTCAATAGAACCCATCCTTTGCTGGGCAGTGGTGGCTCACACCTTTAATCCCAGTACTTGGCAGGCAGAGGCAGGTGGATCTCTGTGAGTTCTACAAAGCCAGTTCAAGGAAAGCCAGGGCTGCATAGAGAAACCCTGCCTCGAAAAACCAAAAAGAACCCATCCTGATGCTTATTACAAACCCTTCCTCCCTAGGCTCTTGTCCTGATCACTGTTCTCAGTCAGCAGAATCCATTCTTGTGGGAAAGGTCATAGGGGCTTTGCTACAGAGATGCACTTTGCAAGGCAGTTTCCATGTAGTCATGCCTAATGCTTTGTCAGGATAATTGTCACATGACATGCAAACTTTTTTTTCTAAAATTTTACTTTGTTTAAATGTGTAAGAAATAAACCACTTGACATTAGACTCCAGAAGTTTGGACCCAGCACCAGCTAAGTTGTGCTTAACCTCATCCAGATTGTCTCACCATTGATCATGACACTTACAGGGAACCCCACAGCCAGCCTGTTCTACATAGTGAGACCTTGTTTCAAACAAATAAAAAGTAAGAGTTTTCTGCATTGTCTGAAATAATGTAATTTGGGGTTTTTGTTCTATTAATATATTAAATAAATTTTCAGATATTAAACTACCCTTGCATTTTGGAGACAAATTCTCTTAGCTATGATGTAGAATCCTTTTTGTATGTTTGTAAATCCACTGCAAGAGAACTTTACAGCTATATTCAAGAGGCAATGATTTGTAGTTTTCTTAGTGTACCTGTGGGTTTTGGTATTAGTGTATCCAGGCCTCAGAGAACATGTTAGGAAGAGTTTTCATTATCCTTGCTACCATGGAAACTTTCTGGAGGTGGGTGTGTTGGTATACACCTGTAACCCCAGCACTCAGGTAGAAGCAAGAGGGTCAGTTTTAGATACATAGCAAGTATGAAGCCAGCCTGGGCTACAAGAAAACCTGCCTCAAAAAACAGGGAAAGAGCTGGGCGTTGGTGGTGCACGCCTTTAATCCCAGCACTTGGGAGGCAGAGGCAGGTGGATCTCTGTGAGTTCGAGGCCAGCCTGGTCTATACAGAGAAAGCCTGTCTTGGGGGAAAAAATGAAGAGTAACTTCCAGGTATGAGCCAGTGAGATGACTCGTTGTATAAAGGTACTTGCTGCCAAGCCTGAACAACTGAATTTAATTCTAAAACTCACATGGTAAAGAAAAACCAACTTCACGCTATCTCTTGACCTCCACAAAAGTGCATGTACAGTGGATGCATGAGGTAGGCACACATACACACAATAAATCAATAAATATAATTTTAAAAATTATCAGACTTGGGGCTGGAGAGATGGCTCAGAGGTTAAGAGCACTGGCTGCTCTTCCAGAGGACCTGGGTTCAGTTCTCAGCAACCATATGGTGGCTCACAACCGTCCGTAATGAGATCTGGTGCACTCTTCTGGTGTGCAGGCAAATATGCAGCCAGAATACCGTATATGTAATAAAAAATAAATTAAAAAAAATTGTCAGGCTTGGTGGCTCATACCTGTAATCTCAGCATTGGAGAGTGGAGTAGGAGTTTAAGGCCATCTTTGGCTGCAGAGTAAATCTGAAGCACGCCTGGGCTACATGATACTCTTATCTCAAAAACAACAAAATGAAACAAAAATAAACACTTGGGGCTTGGTAGACTAAGCTCTTCCATCTGAGCTGTATTGCCTGGCTCAATGATGTCTCAACTTCTCTTGACTAGGCTGGTGGCTGAATCTGCTGAGGCATGGGCTGGGTCCAGGCCAGCCTGCTGGTCCGAGGCCTGTCCAGGGGCTGGGGAAGCATCTGCAGTACTGCCCTCTCAAGAGCTGCCACCACTCAGGTAACCACAGGCTAGGCACTCATGACTGGAGGGGGAAGGCCTGTGCTTGACACTCACCTCTCAGGATCAGGCCATGGAAGTTAATGTGATCCTTGGCCTGTCTGTCCTGCTGATAGTCCTTGTTAGTTATTTTGCCATTGCCATACTGAAGTACAATGACCAAAAGCAACTTAAGGTCTCAGAGGGTGAGTCTGTAAAGACAGGGAAGGCATGGCAGCAGGTGGCCAGAGCAGGATGCTGAGGGCACCTCTCAAGCACACATAGGAAGGGGAGAGTGAACTGTAAATTGGTTGAAGACACAAATCCTCAAAGCTACCCCCAATGACCTACTTCCTCCAGGAAGGTGCCAATTCCCAAAGGTTCCATAATCCAAAAGCCCCTACTAGAGACCAAGTGATCAAATACATTGGGCTATTTCTCATTCATACCACAACAGTGTGTATACTTTTAGTTTGTGTATGTGTCACAGAGCCATATGTAATACCAAATGGCCGTAGAATATGATGTGTGGTTCAAGGTAGACTTAAAATCTCAATTCTCGGGCTGGAGAGATGGCTCAGAGGTTAAGAGCACCGACTGATCTTCCAGAGGTCCTGAGTTCAATTCCCAGCAACCACATGGTGTCTCACAACCATCCGTTATGAGATCTGGTTCCCTTTTCTGGTGTGCAGATATATATGGGAGCAGAATGTTGTATACATAATAAATAAATAAAATCTTAAAAAAAAAAAAATCTCAATTCTCCAGGCTTAGCCTTCTGGGGGTTGGGATTTCAGGTGTGTACCACCATGTGGCAGAGTACTTTGTCATAGTACCTAAGCTAGGGTTAGAAGCCACAGTGTCAGCGCTCCTCAGAGGCCCTGCATGATGTCCAGGGCACCTCTCCAGAAAAGCTAAGCAGCATTCATGCTCTCCCAGGTGTCCCTCCAGGCCCCACGAGGCCTCCACTGCAGTGCAGTTATACATAAGGATGACGTGTCGTTGGTTCCTCGACCTCCCGAGCCCCAGAGGAAACCCATCAAGGTCCCAGTTCTCCACGAAGAACTGTTCACGCCATCAGCAACTGGGGAGAAGGACAAGGCAAGCTTCTTACGTGCATTGCGCAGCTTTGAGGAGCACAGTGTGCGCAAGCGTGGCCATGTGGACTTCATCTACCTAGCGTTGCGCAAGATGCCAGAGTTCGGTGTGGAGCGGGACCTGTCAGTGTACAACCTGCTGCTGGATGTCTTCCCCAAGGAGATCTTCCGGCCCCGAAATATTATCCAGCGCATCTTCGTCCACTATCCACGGCAGCAGGAGTGTGGGATTTCGGTCCTGGAACAGATGGAGAGATATGGTGAGCGAAGCAGCCCAGCCTTAGTTAGCACCCTGCTCCACTCCCTTCTTCCTTAGTCCTTCCGTCTCTCTACCTCTCTCAGGTTCTTCGTCTTAGAATTTTTGAGCCTAGGGCTGTAGCGGAGTTTGAGGAGGACTTGCTGGAATGCTCCGAGGCTGATCCCCAGTATCCAGCAACCTCAGTGTACACCTGCCATCCCCAGCTTGGGGGTGGGGTGGATGAATTGCTTTGATTTTTTTTTTTTTTGTTGTTGTTGTTGTTTGTTTTTTGAGGCAGGTCTTCTCTGTTTAACAGCCCTGGCTGTCCATCCTGGACCTTTTTTTGTAGACAAGTTGGGCCTCAAAGTGAGTGCTGGGACTAAAGGCATGCGCTACCATGCCCAGCTTTGTTTTTTATTTTTTGGGTTTTTTTCCTAAGATTTATTCTTAATTACATGTATGCTGTGTATCAGCGAGTGTGTGAGGGTACATGTCCAAGGCCAGAAGAGAGTTTTGGATACCCTGGAACTGGAGTTAAAGGTGGTGCAGTCCATGTTTCTATCTGCTGAGCCATGTCTTTCTCTAGCCTTCTTTGGTTTTTTGAGACAGGGTTTCTCTGTAGCTTTGGAGACTGTCCTGGAACTTGTTCTGTAGTCCAGGCTGGCCTCGGACTCGGAGAGATCCAACTGCGTCTGCCTCCCGAGTGCTGGGATTAAAAGCGAGTACCACCACTGCCCTGCCTAGCCCTCTTTCCCCAACACAAACATTTTACCTTGTCTTATGTAGTCCAGGCTGACCTTGGACTCCTGTCCCAAATACATACATTCTACATGGTCTCTTATAGCCCAGGTTGACCTTGAATTGCTGTGCTGTGGAGCTAAGCCTGTCCTTGGACTCCTGATTTATGTCTCGTCACGTCCCGAGTGCTGGGATTACAGCTCTTTTATATGGTAAAGTCAGTCCTAGAGCTGTGCACAACAAACCAGCACTCTACAGCTACACCCCATTCCCAGCCCCTGCTTCAAACAAAACACTGATGGGCTGGGTGTAGTAGTGCATACCTTTAATCTCAGTTCTGGAAGGCAGAGGGGCAGATCTCTGTTCTTCATACAGAGCCCCAGGCTAGCCAGGGCTACCCAGATAGTCAGACACTTTCTCAAGATAAGAAAACAAATCATGAAAAATAAATTCCCTTTATTTCTATTCTCCCTTCCTGCTGTCTTTCCTGACTGTAAACTTCTGGCTAACCATACCCTGCCTCTCTGGGGCTCTGCCGGATCTGCCCAGCACAGGAGTTATGCCCAACACAGAGACAGAGTTCCTGCTGACTCAGATATTTGGACGCACAAGTTACCCCATGCTCAAGTTCCTGCGGATGAAGCTGTGGCTCACCCGCTTCAAGAATATCAACCCCTACCCTGTGCCCCGAGATCTGCCCCAGGACCCTTTGGACCTGGCTAAGCTAAGCCTGCGACGCATGGAGCCTGACCTCAGTGCCAAGGTCACTGTCTACCAGGTATGCACTCTTGTTGGCTCCTGTAGCTACCATCCCTAGTTGGCCACTTTATTGCTCCCTGGGCTCTCCTTCACTCACCTAGTGTTCTGGCAATGCTCACGGCTCTTCCTTATTACCAGTTGGACCTATTTCCTCCTGTGTCAGGTGTGTTCATATCCTCTGGTTCTCTAACAGAATACTGGAGGCTGGGTACTTCGTAAAGAAAAGAGCAACCAGCTATAGTGTTGATCACATCTCTAATCCCACTACTTGGGAGTCAGAGGCAGGTGGATCTCAGTGAGTTCAAGGCCAGCCTGGTCCACAGAGTGAGTTTTGTGTCAGTCAGGGCTACAAAAAGAGCCCTGCCTCTTCTCCTTGCGAGGGCTGGGGTGTGGCTTGGTGGTGAGGCATGGGGTTCCGTTCCTAGCACTGTGACAAAAAGAGAAGCTGTCTTTTTGCTGCAGTAAGCTAGGCAGGTAGTCACCAACTGAGCCCCATCCATCTGAAGAACTGTTACTGTCACTTCTGCACATGGACACACAGAACTGCAAAGGTACACTGACTTGGATGAGGTCACTGCAGGTGGAACATAAGCTAGGCAGGTGGTAGTCACCAACTGAGCCAAGACCGTCTGAAGAACTGTTACTGTCACTTCTGCACATGGACACACAGAACTGCAAAGGTACACTGACGTGGATGAGGTCACTGTAGGTGGAACATAAGTTGGATGGCTCCAAGTCCCTTCAGGGTGGGCTCAATGTTGGCAGCTCTGGCTAAATTGGCTACACAGAAAGAGGAAGGGGCCACTTTTAGTAACATGTAGGGAACCTGGCACAGTTGTTCAGGATCTACTGGCATCTTTTTCCCTTTGCTTTCTCTGGCTTGCCTGTAGATGGTGGGGAGTTACAACCTTGCACTCCTGTTCTTCCTTGCAGATGTCTTTGCCCAGTGACTCCACAGGCACAGATCCCATCCAGCCCCACATTGTAGGTAAGATCCCAGCCTGTCCCAGGTTCTGCCAGATCCCTCTGGGCCCACTGAATGAACTCGGGCCTTTTGCTGCTAAGGCATCAATAGGTTCTTATCTCCACACCAGGAATCCAGAGTCCTGATCAGCAAGCTGCCCTGGCCCGCCACAATCCATCCAAGCCTGTTTTTGTCGAGGGCCCTTTCCCTCTCTGGCTGCGCAATAAGTGTGTCTATTATCACATCCTGAGAGCTGATCTGCCACTCCCTGAGGAAGAGGTTAGTTACATCCCCAGAACCCACATGGCGGAAGGAAAGAACTGACTCCAGCAAGGGGTGTGCATAAATAAATGTAAACAAAACAAAACAAAACATAGTGGCACATAGCTCTAATTCCAGCACTCAGGAGGCAGAGGCAGGCGGATCTCTGTGAGTTCAAGGCCAGCCTGGTGCGCACAGTGAGTTCAGATTAGCCAGGACTACACAGTTTGTCTTAAAAAGAGGGAGTGGGTGGGAGGGTAGGTGGGCTGGCACATCCTGACAGCTCAGATGAGGGTCTGGGGTTGTGTCTGGCCTCTGATCCTGCTTGCTCTCTCTTTCCTGAGGTAGAAAGTAGAGGAAATCCCAGAAGAATGGAATCTCTACTATCCAATGAAGCTGGACCTGGAATATTCAAGGAGTGGCTGGGACAACTATGAGTTTGACCTGGATGAAGGTAAAAGCAGGACTCAGCATAGCTCATCCTGTGTGGTAGCCTTGGGACCTCAGATTGAAATACTGCCCACTTCCCCCAGTCTCCAAACAGTCAGGGGTCATGTGGCCCTGGGTAACTTGTCTTCCTTGGCCACTGAGCCTCCCCCTTATATGTTTTGTGGAGCATTCTCTACTGACTAGTGACATGATCAGGACAGACTCAAGCCTCAGGTAAGCAGGGAGCAGTCAAGTTACTTTGGGGGGAGCACATAGCAGCCTCCAGGGTTGGGGTCAAGGTCAGCTTCCCTATAGCATCTGAAGAAGCAGGTGGCATAGCCCATGTAAAATGTAGAACATGTATGTGGGGGGCTGCTCTGAATGCATGGAGGTGCTCATGAACTCGGGGTCCCAGTACCTCAAGGTGGTGAGGGCACACTTTTCTCTCCTATAGTGACAGAAGGCCCCGTTTTCGCCATGTGCATGGCTGGTGCCCATGACCAGGCAACACTGGTCAAGTGGATCCAGGGCTTGCAGGAGACCAACCCAATCCTGGCACAGGTCCCTGTGGTATTTCGCCTGGCCAGGTCCACCGGGGAGCTGCTGACAACCTCAAGGCTGGAGGAACAGTCCCCTCCCCACGGTTCTCCCAGGGACCAGGAGGAAGATGCTCTTCAGGCACAGCCGCAGCAGGGTTGAGTCTGAGCCTGAGCTGAACAGGGACTGGACTGGTACAAAATCATATGGACAGAATAAAAACCCTGTTCTTTGGCCTTGTGGCTTTCCTTCAGTTATGCATGAGTTCATGTGGCTCCCCCTTCCTGGGACTCTCCTTTTTTATTATCCTTAAACATTCTGCTTATGTATTTATGGTGTGGGAAAGGTGTGTGCAGTACTTGCTGGAGTCAGTTCTGGATTTCCACCTTTTGAGTCCGCAAATGGGACTCAGATTGTCAGGTTTGAAAGCAATTGTCTTTGGAGCCATCTTGCTGGCTTTTAAATTTTTCTGCTTTAATATTTTTAAGATTTATTTATTTATTTATTAGGTACACAATGTTCCGCCTGCATGCATGCCTGCACACCAGAAGAGGGCACCAGATCTCATTATAGCTGGTTGTGAGCCACTGTGTGGTTGCTGGGACTTGAACTCAGGACCTCTGGAAGAGCAGCCAGCCAGTGCTTTTAACCTCTGAGTCATCTCTCAAGCCCTTAAAAAAAATTTAAAAAAAAAAATTAAGATACTGTTATGTAGCCCACATTGCTCTAGAATTCAAGAGAGCCAAAGATAACCTTGAGTTCCGGGATTCCCAAGTAGCAGTTTAACTGGAGTGCGCGTCCCTGGCCCGCGCATGCGCACCTCGGCTAGCTGTCCCTGTTTGGCGCCGCGGGCAGTGCAGAACCTGTGAAAAATCTCCCGACG